ATGGTTAGGTTAGGTTATGTTAGAAATGATTAGATAAGGTTAGCTTAAGTTAAAAATGATTAAGTTAAAGAAGGTTAGGTAAGATTGGCTTTAAGGTTAGGTTAGGAATAGTTAGGTAAGGTTAGCTTAGGTTAGGAATGATTAGGTAAGGTTAAGTTAGGAATAGTTAGATTAGGATAGGTTAGAAATGGTTAGTTGAGGTAAGGTTAGGTAAGAAAAAATTAGGTTAAGAATAGTTAGATAAGATTAAGTAAGGTTAGGTTAGAAATGGTGTGCCAATTAAACAAGTTCCTATAACCTAAAAATCATAACTTTTTCCCCCGAAGTCGAAAGTTAAATTTTCATGCAGATTTTTAAAAATTTGACTCAAATGTATAAAAAATATATTGTGTCAATTTTTTTTTTTTTAAAGAGACCAAAACTGATAAAACTTGAATTTGAACAAAAAAAAATGAACTTTTGAAACTAAAATGGGTTAAATCGAAATTTGACCTCAATAAAATTCGATCCACTGGTAATTTTGAACTAATGAGTGTCTTATAGGGCATATTCATGCGTCTCTAATAATAAAACAAAAGCGTTAAAAATGTCGAGTGTGAAAGAAAGAATCGATCTATTCGTTGAAACAGAAATTCCGCACTATTCTCAAACCAGAACAATAATGTTACCGACATTGTAACCACCTTCATTACAGAGGCTGTTGTGTAAATAATAGGACTCCAACGCACTAATGGCAATGTATATATAACAAGCGTCTAAAATTTACATGACGAATATATATATATATTTATGTATGTTTGTCTATTTTTTAATGAAAGAAATATTTCTCTCTTTCACGTGAAACGAAATTCAATATTTAAAATTTTTTTTTCTATTTTAATTAATGTAATTTAAATTCTTATTGAAATTCAAAAAAAAAAAATTGTTTTTAAATGTTAAAAATTTTCTTTATTTCAAGTAATGTAATTTAAATTCTTATTATTGAAATTTAAAAAAAAAAAATTTCCTACATTGTGCTCAAAGGCATGCCTAAAACTTATGCCATCTATTATATAGAAAGTTAAGGTAGAAAGTTAAAAAAAATCAGGCAATTTAAATTCAGCACATAAAATTACACTTATACACATATAATGCCTCTATATAGTATATAGTCAACAAGGGCTTTATAATGATGAAGTGTGGCAGTTTGTCAAATTAACATATCTTCGGCCTTTTACTCATTTCTGTCTTTTTTTTCACCCAGCAAGATTGTGTACGGAAATGGCTCTACTCCCCTGAAATGCTTTCCTTGCTCCTATTATACGAAAACTAGAGCACGACTCACAAGCTTTGCTTGCTATTCAAGAGCTTTTAGTTTCTTCTTTATATACGAGTTCAGAATTCACGTATATAAACTTATCCTTTTCGAGCAAAAAAAAAAAAAAAAAAAAACGAAAAAAAAAAAAGTTAAAGAAAAAACTAATACCACTTATAACGAAGAGAGAGACATGACTAATTATTATCATCGCAAGAGAATTGTTCCTTTTGGAAGACGCATTTATAAATAAAAAGAAAAAAAAAAGTGGAACACAAGAATATTAATAATCGCACAGCTTTCTAAATCTTTATAGTGTAGAAAACTGTATCATTTTTTTTTTAAAAGGAAATTGAGTTTATAATTTTCAATTGAAATACACCGAGAATTTTGTAGATGGAACAAAAGAAAGTAATTTTTTTTATTCTATGAATATTATAAAAGGAAAGGAATTTCATTGTAGGAAAATAATACCATCTCGTTAGGATTTTGACATAACCTCAAAACAGTTTCGCAGGAACAGCAAATGTAGAAAAATAACCATTATTTCAACCCTAAGGTATAGACTGTAATTATTATACATTTTTAGGACCGCTGAAACTAAATCCGATGTCCATTTTACCCCATCATGTCAGGATTTTAACATAACCTCAAAAAAGTATTACAGAAACACCAAAAAAAAAACATTTCAACCCTGGAATACAAAACGGTGTTTATTATAAGTTTTTTCGGTCACTAAAACCGAATCCTATGTCCATTTTACCCCAACACGTCAGGATTTTGACATAACCTCAAAAAATGTAAACAGGAAGACAAAAAATAGAAAAATAATCTAATCCTGGGATTCAAACCATGTTTATTATACGTTTTTGGAGTCGCTGAATCCATATCCGCTGTCCATTTTACCCCATTACTTCATGATTTTGACATAACCGCAAAAAAAAAACCTTTGCAAGAACATGAAAAATAGATTTCAAACCCTGGGATTCAAACCACGTTTAATATAAGTTCTTAATGTCGCGGAAACTGAATTGGATGAATCCACATAACCTCTTTACCCTATAACCTAAAATCCTGACGTTATGGGGTAAAATAGACAACGGATTTTGCTTTAGCGACCCCAAAAACTTATAATAAACATGATTTGAATCCGAGGATTGAATTATTTTCCGATTTTTTTTGTATTCCTGTGAAGGTTTTTTTGAGGTTATGTCAAAACCCTGATGTGTTGGGGTAAAATGGTTTTTTTCAATTTTTTTTCGTTCCCTTGAAGATTTTTTGAGGTTATGTGATGGGGAAAAATGGATACCGAATTATTTTTTATTTTTTGTGTTCGTGTGAAGGTTTTTTTGAGGATAAAAGAAATTTTCAGTTACTTTTCTCCTGAGTTTAAAATATCGAAATATTGCCTTAATGTTCATTATAAAATTTTATACATTCTGGCATTAAGGACAAAAATGAAAAACAATCTATATTCTAATTTAAAAAATTTTCTAATACAATTAATAGAATGATTTTAAAAATTTAGACTAAAATATTTATTTGACCCTATAAGTTAAATTGGATAATGAACACATCATTTACTCTTGTCAATAGAGAAATTTAAAATAGAAATAACAATTCAATAAAAGTCAAAGGCATAAAATCTTGCCTCTGTCATTATTTTATTTCCAACAGTTCTTTGTGTCATTATGGAACTGTTTACTTGTCTTTTCTTTCAGTTTTCACATTGTACCATAGAGTCTTGAATAAATAAACGTGATCGGTTGAGAATCAAGAGAGAGAGAGTCTGGCGGCCGCAAACAGCTCCAATGGAAACTGCAAGTTTCCAAGTTCTCTCCCCTATTTACAACTCTGATGTGCTTATATTATTGGTTTTTACTCGAAATTAGTTTCAACTTCAAATTTAACACACTTTGTATTTTAGATACTTCCTGACAGTATATTTAAATTATATATATATGTATAGAGATACGTCGTTAATGCACGAGAATTGCTTTTACAGAATATCCGGTCGAACTATTTTATATGTTATTGCTAAAATTGTTGGACAGTTGGTTAACCCTTAAACTCAGTTAGTTCTATTCACATCGATTAGTATATATATATATATATATATATATATATATATATATAATAGTATAGGAAATAATAAATGAAAAGGGGGTTACGAGAACGTAGAAGAAAAAGTTTTAAACAGCAATTTTAAACTTTTCGAAATTTATAAATATAAATAAACAAAAGGTGAGAGTTTAAAGACTGACAATTAAATGTATAGGTGACGATACGCGACAGAAGGTATACCTTAGCTACGAAAAAGTTTAGGTTATGTTTAGTGATAGTTTTATCTAATAGAAAGTTCTTTTTTAAATCAGCAAAATTAGATTTTATTGAATATTTTGGATGTAATAAATATCAATGGTTTATATAAAAATTTGATCTCCTTTGTCTATTTTCAGACCAAAAATGAAAAACATAACCTAGAATATTTTGGATATTTGGTTCCTTTTATCACGGAAAGTCACACACACACACACACTCTTATTTTCCAATTACTTTAATTGTTATTTAATAAATATTAATATAATTTTAATAAAATTGGCTAAGAACCAAAATTTTATACTAAACCAAAAATAAACCACAATAATCAAATTTCCTTTTGTTATAGTGCTTAATTTTGAGGTTATGTTTGCTTTTTGACCTATCATCTTTAGCCAAACATTCAGATTATGTTTTCACTTTGACCTATGATCTTTTGACCTTAAAGCACTTAATCTGTAAGTCATGAAGGCATTTTAACGTATGAACTTTAATTTTGAGGTTATGTTTGATCTGTGACTGAATTTTGTGGTTGTTGGACCTATGACCTTCAATTTCGAGGTCATGTTTGACATATGGCCTTTAATACTAATATATATATATATCTTCCTATATTACAAAAAGATATCACCGCCGCCGCTCTTTCAAGAATTCTTGACCTAAGAGGGGGGAGTCCCCCCTCCCTCCTCTCATTTCCCCTCCTCCGCCAAAAATGACCTAAATTTTGAGGTTATGTTTGTTTTAAGACCCTAATAAAGCAGTAAGTCCTTCCCCCTTCCCTCATCTCTCTCTGTATTTCCCGCCAAAAATGACATAAATTTTAAGGTTATGTAAATTTCAAGACTTTCAATATAGCCGCAAGTGGAGGTGGAGTTCCCGCCAAAAATGACTTGAATTTAAAGGTTATGTTCGTTTCAAGACTTTTTAATAATTTATTGGTTTTTAGGCAATTTCATTGAAATTATTTTTAAAAATAATTTCTTAATGTCCAGTTTAATTTATTTAATTATTTATTTATTATTAATGTAATTAGTTTATTAATTAAAATTTAATAATTTTAATTTAATTCAATCCTCTGAGAGAAATTCTGAATCCTACGCGACTTTGAACGCTACGCGAGTTGAATACTAGGCGAAAAGGTCAAAATTTCTGAATCAGCGTTGGCGGTGAAATATTTTAATATTACAAAGTGATACTTGTAAATTACTGAGTAATACAAAAAGTAGGAAACAAAATATGTCCAGGAAGTTAGACCAGTAATGTTAATATTTTTTTTTTTTAATTTTAACTTTACTGGTCTAATTTCCTGGATATAAATAAAATCCCCTTTTCAGAATGTAAATGTATTCTATATATATATATAAATTTAAGGTATTTGTGTACTCACTTTGAATCCTTTATACCACTCTTTGATAGTCGCTTCATCGTATCTCGTATGCGACTTGAGGAAGTCCATATCCTCCTTACTCAATTTGTCTTTACTCCCAAAACAACCCATTTTAGGTGCGAGCTGTAACAGAAAGGGATTCCATCTTCAAACTCAATTTCCACAACATCGTAAACGTGTGAAGCTATAAAATTTATGAGCTTCTATTTGCTTCATGCGATCAAGAACGAGAGTACGTGGCGTCGCTGAAGCAATAAAATTGTTTTTTTTTCAATAATTATACTCTCTATTTGCACTATATATACATAATCTTCAAAATCTCTTGACTTTTCACTATAAACTTGCGGTCAAATAACAATGTAAAACTATATATATATATATATATACATTAACATAACAACATATATATATATCTCGTTCTCTCTCGTGCTGTTTCTAAAAGAAGATAAATGATCCTTGGGTGATACCATTTCTCACTGGAAAACAATGTCTGCCTTTTTTGCGCAAGTTTCCCAGCAGGAGAATCGTTATATAATTCTCATCCGGAAAATATATATTTTCATAGAAAGAGAATTACTGTCACGTAATTAAGAAATATATATAACTTATCATTTACCATGATTTGTTGTGTATATAAAGAATTAATTCTTTTAGGAAAAGGAGGAAGAGAATTTTTATTTTTGTAATATTACAAGATATATATTAAAAACGCACATTCAATGTTTTATGATTCGATATTAGGTATCAAATTGTTACAAATAATAGGATCACTTTTAAGAATTGATCCGAAAATTAAGATCATTTTTTGATGCCTAAATTGGTATCAAAGTATAACTGTCATGGCAGGTATGCTATTATTGACAAATTTATTAATCAATTTTTTCATTGCACCGGATTTTTAAGTAGGGGAGAGTGGGGCAAAACGGGGTACCTTTTTGGAATTCTCGATTTACAAAGAATCTATCAAATAAATTAGTTCAAATGTCGTTGAAAGTTCTTCCTTGAACATTAGAGAATAAGAAAATAAGGTCGATTGTATGAAAAAAATTTTTTTGATCAATTTAAACCAGCTTTTTCAAAAAAAAAAATGCAAAGTACCCCGTTTTGCCCCGATGGTGGGGCAAAACCGGGTACCATCAAGAAAATATATAAATCATGGAATATTCTTTAACTTTTTGTTCAATTATTATTATATATCACTTACATTATAGAAAATAATTAATATTCAATAAATTTAATTTAAATATATTATATTAATAATGAATAACAGCAGTTAAATCTTTTAAAACGAATTTTTTCATTTTTTCATTAATTTTTTATCGTTTATTTATCGTTATGGTAAATAAATGATATATCGAAAGTTAAACATCGATTTCGAAACATACATGTTGATTATTTTGAGATAAAATTTAAATATGTATAGTGTAATGCATTTAAATTTTAAATATATCCGATTTTGCCCCGCACTGCATTTTTTAACAAAATGTAAAATTCTCAGCTTAATGTTAATAATTTAACAATTACTTTTAATGAAAATTACTCGTAAATAAATGCTGAAAAAGATGTAATACTTGCCGAAACGAATATATCGACACAAAAAGTTTTATAAGTGATTTACTTTCGATAAAAAAAAATCGATTTTCTTTTGACCTAAAATTTAAAAGTCGCATAAAATATAATAAATAAATTTTTATATACTGGTTATGTAATTAAAATGATGTTAGTTGTAATATAAAAGATGTATATGTAATAGGTGACATAAATGGAAATACCTATCATGGAAAACTGGGGGTACCCCGTTTTGCCCCACTCTCCCCTATTCAAATTAATTTTTAGTAAGAATTTAAAGAAAAAAGAAGCGATAATTATTAAGTTTTCTTAATTTTGACATAGAATTTGTCAAAATCGGAGACAACGTATTTTCAAATATTTACAAGTTTAACCTTCAAACTAAATTTTATTAAGTCTAGATGTTATTTGTTTTTGGTAAAAATCCACATTTTATTTTTAAAATTCTTATTAAATGAGCTTTCGCCCGTCAACGTCGGGCCTCATCAGATTTAAATACTGAAATTAAATTTACATTTTTTGAGTTTGTTATAAAAATAAAATTTAATTGACGGGCGAAAGCTCATTTAATAAGGATTTTTAAAAATAAAATGTGGATTTTTACCAAAACCCAAATAATATCTAGACTAAATTATATGCAAATCCAAAAAAATTATCATCTATACTAAATTTTATTAAATTAATCAAATTTTTTTCTCAATTTTTTTTACAATAATAAAGTTTAAAAATTACTATTTCAAAACTACTCATTGCAAAAGTAATTTGATTTAACTAAATAGGAGAAATAATTATTTAAAATTTGTCTTATATTGTCAAATTTACTATAGGGGTGTAAAATTTTAAAATAGAATGCCCATATAATATATTCCGACAAATATAAATAATAAATGCCCAAACTTGTCGGAAAATCCTAATGACTGTGTTTCCGTGCAATCTTCAATTACAAATTCATCAGCATTGACCGTCGCGCACGAGTAAAGCATTATAATTTATTATTATTATTATTATTATCATAAATCAATGATCGTTATATATATACGTATGTATATTATCGAATGCAGAGAGGGACATGTGGTCATAGTATTGTTTTCACCGAACATATAGTTCGTGACGGGGTCGAACGTGTATCAATATAAACACGTGTGATAGTGTCACACAGCGCGCACAATGGTCAAACCCATTACATTACTTAACATGGTGACGAGTTGCAACCACAGGACCTTATAACACGCTTATCGTACGTTGCATTGTGTTGAGGTTTCTCGGATGTACCCACCACCCATGTCTCTACATAAAGGGAAAGTTTCGTGACCTCGTTGATGACTCGCTTAATGCGCTGAATATCAAAGTCATATAACTCAATCCATTAATTCAATTTCCTGTTCGTCGCACAACACAAAACAAAAAGAAAAAAAAAAGTTCAAGAGAAATCAATTTTCAAGAATGTATTACAAGATATCAAAAAAACATACTGGGTCAATCCATTGTATTTTGACTAAAGTCGTCGTTGACTAATTTTCAAAAAAATTATAATACTTTGCAGGAATGATTTTGAAATTATCAAGATCATGAAATGTAAAGAATTTTATTAAAAAATTTTATTATTTATTGTAAAATATGAATTTAAAGAATATGAGGTGTCAATTTTTTAGCCTAATGTCTTAAAAACGCTACCCAAATATCTTAGAATAGGATACTTCTTTTTGCAGTGCTTTAAATTCATATTTTACAATAAATAATTAAATTTTTTAATAAATTTTTTTTCATTTCGTGATCTTGATAACTTCAAAATCATTCCTGCGAAGTATTATAATTTTTAAAAAAGGTAAGATCACTCAGCGGCGCCATATTCGCAAAATCAAAAAATGGTACACGGAGAAAAATGAGTTTGCTATTATATGGATAGCTAATTTTTAGCTACAGTAGGGGAGACCGAGGAGGAAAGTAACAGAGGAGGAAAGTAACAAAGCTTATAACTTTTAAACAAATTATCGGATAGACATGGTTCAAACATATTTTTAGTCGGCACTGTTCCCCCTTCCTCCTCCATAGTGTGTCCGAGCCTGACAGGAAAGGTTAGGTCTGATTCCGGTGTGACGTGCAGAAAAAACGTCAAAAGTAAGTTTTCGTTCAAATTTTCAAATTCTCGTATTTCTTTAATTTTATTGTTTTTCAAAATGTGCCTTTCGTTATTTTGTAGCCTTATTATCTGTCTTTAAGTTGTGCTTAAACAAACAATTTAACAGTTGTGTAGTTTTAACTTTTTTGTTGACATACAAGAAAAAATCGACCGAGGAGGAAAGTAACACGCTACTTTTCTCCTGTTGTCGATATTGTCCATGTTTTAATTAATGATTGAAGCAAATCGTATTTAATTTTACGAATAACAGAGATTTATTTAAGAAAAACCTGTGATCTAGGTAAGCATAAAATATCTTTAAGAAAAAAAATGAGCTAAATTCATAAAATGTTCGATATATGTGCTAAATATGTCCCATATATGTGCCAAATAAGTATAAAGTGTACTTAAACTTTTATGTGTTCCTAATAAAAATATTTCTAATTAATAATAGTCATTAGTCTAAAGAATTTTACATAATTTTATATTGTTACTTTCCTCCTAGGAGCTTGTTACTTTCCTCCTCGGGGGTGAGGAGGAAAGTAACAGATGAAGAGCTTGCGTAAAAGTTATACTGTGAACTGTCAATTTATTATAAATGTTTAATTCAAATTTTATTTAAAAGGTGAATGTCCAAGCTTTCATTTAATATATTGGACAAATTTATCCGACAAATATTTTTAATGCTAGCATAAAAAAACTGATTTTTGTTACTTTCCTCCTCGGTCTCCCCTAGCTAATATTTAGCTGTTACAGCAAACTATTTTAGCTATAGTAGCTAATTTTTAGCTGTATTAGCTAACGAAAATTTCTGTCCATATAATAACAAATAGGGTTAGCTAAAATAGCTAAATTTTAGCTAATATGACTAACTTTTTTTCTCCGAGTACATGAGACATTTTTTTGCTCTTTTTTTGCTATTTTTAGCCGCCAAATAGTATATAATGTGGCAAGCACGTAAAGTAGTACTTTTTAGGTGAAGATGTAATTTTCATTATGAGCTGTCGTTAGTGCGACGTAGGTGAGATGAAGACGAGCCGAAAGCGAGCCAAGTCGAACCGAAGTCGCAGACAGCGAGTATTGAAATCATCCGAACCTAAAAATTACTACGTGCGAGCCACATACGCTATTTTTTTCGCCATTGTTATGAAAAAGTGAAACAATTTTAAAGAAATATATATTATATATATAATATATTATATATTATTACAAAAATTATGCAAAAATTAACAACTGCCTAAAAAAGACTTTATAGGGCAGTTTACTGCCTAAAAAAGACTTTATATGGCAGTTTTCTGCCTAAAAAAGTCTTTTTTAGGCAGTTGGCCCAAACTGCCTTAAAAAGTGCTACTTTATCTGCCCAAAACAGGCACAAAAAAGACACTTTTTCATGTCAATGGCGAAAAAAATAATTTTTTTGCTCAACACCCTTCCA